TATATTGGGAGAATGGTGGAGATGAATAAAGTAGAAGTAGCTCTTCTGCCTGTAGTCCTACTACTTTGGGAGGCTGAGGCAGGAGGATCGCTTAAGCCCTGGAGTTCAAGGCTGCACTGTGCTATGATCAAGCCACTGCACTCTACCCCAGGCAACAGAGTGAGACTCTGTCAAAAAAAAAAAATATATATATTAAAACTTAAAATAAAAAAAAATCATCATTTGGATTTTGTTTTCCTTGTAAACAGCTGAACACTGCGATGAAAGAGCCACGATCCAGTCATCTTCAGTTTAATTACTGGCAGGTATCATATGAGTTTTCTATTGGAGTACTTGTGGTTTGACAGTTTATAGCAGTGACAATCTCTTACATCATGTCTCTAAGCTGTCCACCACAGTCAGAGTGAATATGACATTTCTAGACATTTACAGTTTTCATTATTTTGTCTTTACTTTTCTTTTTAAGTAATTAAAGGCTGAACTCCATAAAGATAAATGTATAACTTGTTTAATGCTAAGTGTATTCAAAGCACTTACTCTGAAAAAGAAAAAAAATTAAAAATATTAAAACAAACTAAAAAAAAAAGCTAAGTGTAAGATATCTAATGCCTCAAAATAGCATACTAAGTGCAAGTAAATAGACATCTTAAAGGACAATTAATGAAGATTAAATATCTTGTTATTCTGACAACAAATGTTAACCACTGAACACCTGTGTTAGCTTTAATGGGTTTGGTTTGTGTTGCTTTAATATAATTAGAAGTGAATTTTAGGGCTTGTGAATACAAAAACTTCCTGTTGAAATTAATGGCATTTATAAATTTATGAGAATTTATCCTATCCAGAGGTTTTTCAATATCAAATTACCCTTGACAGGCAAGGGAAGATGACTTAAATCCTTGCGTTTCACAAATACTAATGCTTAAATTGAGGTTAAAACTAGTGCTTATTGAAATTTAAGTGAGTCATCAATCTAAAGAAAAAATATGTAGTAGATAACATTCAGGTCAATTTAGATAGGCCAATAATCATAAAAGAAGCAAGGGCTGGCATTTGGGAAACAGAAAGGGGATCCCATAACCCAGCCTGTCACCAGATTGCCAAACTGAAGGGAATGTAGAGGTGGTGAATCACGACCTGTAGTATGAGTTGCACTGCCCTAGAGCCCAGGGTTTACTTAGTCTATCCTTTCCCTCAACTCCTCTGATCATGCAGGGTCCGTGGTAAGGAATCCAGATTTGATTCTAACTGCAACCTGATAAGCCTAGAGAGTTTTAAGTAAGGGATTTATAAAATCTGATTTGCTTTAAGGATGAAATGTGCTGATGAAAGTAAAGGGCTCAGGAAACACTAAAGCATCCTACCAAAGTATTTTATTACATCGACAGAGGAATGAACGGGAGGGAAGAAAATAATGCAAACTAAAATCCAAGAAAAATAGGTCCATTCTAAATCATGTGGCCAGTACTCATCTTCCAGGTTTCCCTTATGTCCCATTTAGGAGGATAAGGAAGACTAGGGGAAGATCAGGTTTGGTTGAAGAGGAATCATGATTTTGGTTTTCAAAATATTAAGTTTGAGATGCCCATTAGACATGAGCATGGAAATAGTGAGAGGGCTGTTGGATATACATATGCCTCTGGAGCTAAAGGGAGAAAATAGGAATGAAAATATGGACTCAGGATCCATCAGAATATAGAGCAATTATTAATAGCAATAAAAGCTAACCTTTAGAGCAGGCATCCTCAAACTATGGCCCGTGGGCCAAATGCCACCCACCTAGGACATTTATCCAGCCTGCAGGGTGTTTTTGTCGCAGCTGCCTGTCCTGCTTAGCAGCCAACTCGTCCTGGGCCCACAGTGCACACTCTCCAACCGTTTGAGGGACAGTGAACTGGCCCCCTGTTTAAAAAGTTTGAGGACCCCTGCTTTAGAGCATGCTTACTAAATATCAGTCATTATTTTAAATGCTTTCTTTACTTGTATAAACTCACTTGGTCCTCACCACAACCTTAGGAGGTTAGGTACTATGATTATATTTATTTTATAAATGAAGAAACTGAGGCATAAAAAGATTACATAACTTGCCTAAAGACATACAGCAAGTACCTACAGAGCCAAGTTTCAAACCTAGATAATCTGACTCTGGAACTCTTTAAAGCTAGGGACTCTTTAAAGCTTGGGGAGTACAGACAGAGATAGAACCGAGATGACAGTATTTCAATTCAATTTCCCCAGTCCTGAGTATCAAGTGCCTGGCATGGTTACAGGCTCTGCAGATACAAAGAAAAATAAGACACAGTCTCTTCAAGAAGCCCAGTCTAATAGCTACTAGCTGAGAGCAACTATTTACTAAACATCTACCATGTGCCACCCTGGCTAAGCTTTTTACACATAATATTTCACTTACTAACAGCCCTATGAGATGTTATTATCACCACTTTAGAAATAAGGAAACTGAGGTTGAGAGAGGTTAAATACTTAACTTAGGTCACTCAGCTAGTAAGTGACAGAACAAGAATTCAACTCAAGTCTACCTTACTTTAAAATCTTGTCTTTTCCAAGGAAATTCCATCACATGCTACATACAACAGAGAACTTTGAAGACATTGTGCTAAGTGAAATAAGCCAGTCACAATAAGAAATTACTGTATGATTCCACTTATATGAGGTTATCTAAACTAGTCAAACTCAGGAGCGGCCAGGAAAGAAAAAAATAAAAATAAACTAGTCAAACCTCAGAGAAACACAAGGTAGGAGGGTGGTTACCAGGAGCTGGGGGAGGGAGAAACCAGGAATTGTTCAGTGGCTAGAGAGTTTTGTCGTATTTGCAAGATGAAAAAGTTCCAAAAATTTGTTTCACCACAATGTAGAATATACTTCACTCTACAAAACTGTACAATTATAAATGGTTAAGCTAGTAAATTTTGTCACATAAATTATTTTTTATCACAATTAAAAATTTTTAAAAATCTGGTCTTTTCCTACTATACCACATGCCATAATGGATGTGCTTACGTGCTTTGAAAATATGGGTAAGCAAATAATTTATTCTCTAGGGTGAGAGAGGGAGGGCTTGTCAAGGAATAGATCAAAGAAAATTACTATGGAAATATTCATAAGATGAAGTTTCTCACTTTATACTCACTATAGCTCTGGGCAGGTGTCCCTATCTCAACCTCTGAAATAGCTCCTACACTTCTACACAATTATCATTACCACAATAACTTGCCTAAACTAGGCTCAAGAATGTTCCAGTAGCCTTCTATCTCGTGAGCTTTTCTAGGCTCCTCCCATTCTAAGTCATTCAGCACTGGAAAAAAATTAAGTTTCCTAAATTGCCTCATTCCTCATGCTAAAGAACTTCCATGGCTCCCACCTGCTCTCTGAACACAGATATTCAGGATGGGTGTTTAGGAACATAGCACCTAGCCTTTTAGAGCTTTAGTTTCTTCATCTGTTAAGAGATGACTCCTGAACTCTAACTCAAAAGATTGAGGATTAAAGACATTGTATATCTTGCACCATGCTTGATCCAAAGTATGTGCTCATTAAAGGTTAGGTAGTCCCCTTTCTGCCTGTCCCTATATACCCAGCTCAGTAAGGTATTTTAGCTTAAAGAAAGAAAAAGCAAGTATTTCCAAGATCTTCTTAAGGTAGCTAGGAAAGAACACAAGGGAAAAGGGTTGCTCAGCTAGGGTTGTTTGATGTCCAGGAAAATATTGCACACTCAGAACTGCTCCTTCATCTGCAACCCTCCATACACACAGACCATCTAGTCTTTATCTTATTCTACCCTTTTAGTCATTTGAGTAATATTTAAATGAGTTGAAGTTAAATTTAAAGTTATATTGCAAAAACTGGTACTCCCATTCTCTCCTCCATTTGCCCAGTTTCCACCCCAATCCCAACCACTTTAGTAGTTTCTTATGTATCCTTCAAAACTTTATTTACGCAAAAGCTGTCTTCAGATAAAGCTAATGTTTTACAGGTGTGTTTGCAAGGTTTGTAGTGGGGAGGGTGGAGGAGTGAAGACAGTAGGTCTTCTCCACTTTGCTTTACCCTAAAGCAGTGTCCTTTCATTCAACAAAAAATATTAATCATATACTGGGCATTTATTATAAGCCAGATACTGAGTATAACAGTAATATTAACTGATTATTCTTCAGCCCTTACCAGAAATGCATTCATGCTTTACCCAACTGTCCCTTTTGATCTTCACAACATTAAAAAGTAGGTTACTAATTCTCATCTCCACCTGACAAGTGAGGAAACTGAGGCACAGAAAGGCAACTTGCCAAAGCAAGAGCGAGCGAGCAAGAGCAGGGCTTTGAACCCAGGCCTGACTCCAGAGTCCTCACTCTTAACCAAGACGCTCTACATTGGCAAAACAGATGCAGTCTCTGCACCCGTTGGAGCTCAGGCTAATGCAGGAGACAGGCGAGAAAAAAAGCAGACAACAAAGAAATACGGAATTACAGACTAAGAAAGTAATGGGAACGAAACGAGTTCGGGTCTGTGACAGAGTAACAACAGGGACCTACTTTAGAAAGGGGGAGCAGGGAGTGTCAAGGAAAGGTCTGAGAAAATGACATTAATGACACGCTTGGGAACCGTTTGGGGGCTGCAATGATAACCCCCGCCCAATTCAAAGGGGAGAAATTCGAGGCCTGTAGAAGCTAAAGCAAACTCGCCAGGGTCTTCCAGACATGTAGACGTGGCGCAAGGAAGGGAGGATCCAGAAATGGGCCCAGGGCTCGTACACGCCATCAATGCCCACAGTTGCCCAGCCCCGCTCGGCCCTTGACCGAGGGCCTCCAGCTGGCAGCTGCCTACGGCCCCGCCGCGGCTGACAGCGTCCGCAAAGCTCACAAGGAGACCCTGCGGCAGCACAGAGGAGTCTGGCCCGTCCTGCAGCGGTCTGGAAAGGCCTCGTCCCCGGCCCCCCGCCATCTCCCGCCTGGTCCGCCCCGCCCCGCCCCTCCGGGCCGGCCTCATACCTGCACCGCTCGGATCAGGCCCCGGCCGGTCAGCTGGCCCTGCCGCAGCTGCAGCAGAATGTTACCGGGCCGCGGCCGGCCGCCCCATCCGCCCCAGGCTGTTTCTGTTGCTGCCGACCGTCTCGCTCGGCTGGCCCCAGACCCGGCCGCCGCCGGCGCCGCCGCCGCCGCCATGTCTCCTAGCCCGACAAACAGGAAGCGAGCGGCCCCGGGGCCGCGGAGACTTCTACGGGGCGGCGGAGGGGTCGCCGCAGCGCCCCCAGCGGGCTGACGGCGGAGGCGCAAGCCGCGTGGCAGGGGCTGTGCGCGCCGCGGGGGCTGCTGGGAAATGTATTCCTGCTCTGAGGCGGAGCAGGTGGGAAAGATGCTGCGTTTTCTGCCTGGCCTGTTTTTCTGGCTTTGAGGTCGGACACTTCGGCGAAGTCTCCCGAGATCTGAGACCAGTCCCTGCGTGCACACTCATTTCCCGTCCTTGTGGAGGGTGCAACCAACTATCCAGAAGTCAAGCCCTCGAGTCTGATTCCTGCCTGCTTCTCTGCACCTGACTTGCGGCGGAGCTCCATCCTCTGCGCCTAAAGCTCCCCCTTAGTTCATTCAATCTGTAGTTCTGGGAGCTTGATCAGTCAACCTGTGGTTCCTAGGGGCCTGCTCTGCGCCGGACACCGAACTGAACGGGTCGCTTCGGGTGGCGGGGCAGGGCGGCCGGGGGAGTCACAGTAGCGAGCACAAAGGCCTAGGACACTGCTACCACGAAATGTAGATTACAGCAAATCCTTATACAGACCAACGCGCAATAACAAACTGAGTAAGTTGTGTAACTGGATAGGTTGTTGTGAAGCTAAATGAAATAATGGAAGGGAAAAAGGGATTAGTAAATGTGACATCGTATTCTCTGTCAGACAGAACTCTGTCCTAATCTCTCCCCACCAGGCAGCATGTTTTCCCTACTGTGAGCCTGCGTACTCATTTTTTGGCAAAATTCCGTGGTAGGATTGCGTTGACTGCTTCCTTTTTCTCTTTCTAGGAGGGGGCTTGTAACAGAGAGAGGAGTGATAAGTCTGATGTAATAGGGAATGGTGAAAAGTGTGAGTCATAACTAAGGTGGCTGTCATTTATCACCCAAGCAGAACACTTTTAAGAATGAAAGGATGAGCCAGAGTGGTGGCTCACGCCTGGAATCCTAGCACTTTAGGAGGCTGAGGCGGGAGGGTAGCTTGAGGTCAGGAGTTTGAGACCAGCCTGAGCAAGAGCAAGACTCCCATCTCTGCAAAAAGTAGAAAAATTAGCTGGGCATCGTGGCACATGCCTGTAGTCCCAGCTACTCCAGAGTGGAGAGAATTGCTTGAGCCCAGGAGTGTGAGGTTGCAGTGACCTATGACGACTCCACTGACGACTCGAAATATTAGGGAGGTACAAATGTGTTTATTACATGGATACCTTGTATAATGCTTAAGTTGGGTCTTCTCATGTGCTCATCATCAGAATAGTGTTTGTTGTACTCAATAGGCAAGTTTTTACCCCTCACCCCCACCCATCCGAAGTCCAAACTTTTTGCCTCAATAATTATTCCTTTAGCCACACTGGAGGTGCTAGCCAAAGAAATAAAAAGCATCCAAATTGGGAAGAAAGAAGTAAAATTATCTCTGTTTGCAGATGTATGATCTTATATGTAGAAATCTGTGGGGCGCGGTGACAACGCCATTAAAATATGGCGCTGATATCCGGTGCCTCGCCCTTGCTTCTCCCGCTGGTAAACAAGTTCTGCGCCTGTGTGTCGAATGTAACCAATGATATGAGTTTCCTGCTTTGCAGTGTATATAAGAAACTGCCCTTCCCCTTTTCTGGGTCTTCCGCAAAATGTAGCCTAAGGGATCCCCCAATAAAGCACGGTCAGAAGAACTCCAGTTGCCGCGTCTTCCTTGCTGGCGAGGTGGGCGCGACAGAAATCCCTAAAAATTACATGTACACACACACACACACACTGCTAGAACTAATATACAAGTTCAGCAAAGTTACAGGATATAAAATCAACACACAAAAATTAGTTGTGTTTCTATACACTAACAATGAATGATCTGAAAAGGAAATTAAGAAAACAAAGCCCATTTGCAACAGAAAAATAATAAAATACTTAGGAGTAAATGTAACCAAGGAGGCGAAAGACTTGTGCACTGAAAACACAAAACAGTGCTGAAAGAAGTTAAAGAAGACACAAACAAATGGAAAGACAACTTGTGCTCATGGATTGAAAGAATTAATATTGTTAAAATGTCCATTAACACAAAGCAATCTACAGATTCAATGCAACCTCTGTCAAAATCTCAATGGCACTTTTTGTAGAAATAGAAAAAAAAAAATCCTAAAATTCATGTGGAATCTCAAGGGACCCCAAACAAAGTCAGTTGCCTCACATTTCCTTATTATAAAACATATTACAACGCTATTGTAATCAGAACAGTATGTAACTAGCATAAAGACAGGCATATAGACCAATAGAATAGAATAGAAAACTCAGAAATAAATCCTCATTCATATGGTCAATGATCTTTGACAAAGACTACACACTGGGGAAAGGACAGTCTCTTCAACAAATGGTGTTGGAAAACTGAATATCCACATGCAAAGAAATGCAGTTGGACTCTTATTGTATACCATATGCAGAAATTAACTCAAAATGGATTAAATGGAAGGTCTTCCAAATGGAAGACCTAAAACTATAAAACTTATAAATGTAAATATAGAGGAAAATCTTCATGACATTGGATTTGGCAATGATTTCTTGGGTATGACATAAAAAACACTGGCAACAAAAGCAAAAATAGACAAACAGGACTACATCAAATTTTATAACTTCTCATCAAGGGACACAATCAACTGAGTAAAAAGGCAACCTATGGAATGTGAGAATATATTTGCAAATAATCTATCTAATAAGGGTTTAATATCCTGAACATATAAAGAACTCCTAAAACTCAACAACAGCAACAATGAAAGAAATCAAATAATTAGATTTTTAGGTTAGGAAAAGGACATGAATAGATATTTCTTCAAAGAAATACACAAATGGCCAATAAGCATATGAAAATGTGCTCAACTTCACTAACCATTAGAGAAATGCAAATCCAAACTACAGTGAGTTATCACCTTACATTCATTAGGATGGCCACTACATATGCACACATACACAAAAAAAACTCCAGAAAATAACATGTGTTGGCAATGGTGTGGAGAAATTGCAACCCTTGTGTACTGTTGGTGGAAATGTAAAATGATGCAGCCTCTATGGAAAAAAGTATGAAGGTTTCTCAAAACATTAAAACTAGAATTACTATATGATCCAGCAATCCCATGTCTGTGTATATATCTGAAAGAACTGAAAACAGGCTCTTAAAGAGATATATGAAACTCATATTTATAGAAAGATTATTCACAATAGTCAAGAGGTGGAAGCAACCCAAATGTCCATCAATGGATAAATGAATAAGCAAAATGTGGTATAAACATACAATGGAATATTATTCAGCTTTAAAAAGGAAGGAAATACTGTCACATGCTACAACATGGATGACCTTGAGGACAATATGCTAAGTGAAATAAGCCAGTCACAAAAAGACAAATACTGTATAATTCCACTTACATGAGGTATCTAAAGAAGTCAAACTCATAGAAAGTAGAAGGGTGGTTACCAGGGGATGAGGGGGAAGCTAGAAATGGAGAGTTTTTCATAGATATGGAGTTTCAGTTTTCTAAGATGAAAAAGTCCTAGAGATGGGCTGTATGAAATAAAGCAAATTATAAAGAAACAGGTAGAATTAATGTATAATTAGACCTTAGATTCTATGTTTACATGCATGAATTAACCTGAAAGAATTGTTACCAAAAATGTCAAATGTGGTCATCACTATGTAGACAGATTTCAGGTGATTTTTGCTTTATTAATATTTTTCATAATTTTCTACACAAGTCACGTGTTATTTTTACACTCAAGAAAAAATGTCTTTTTTTCTTCTTTTTTTTTAGAGACTCAGATTGGAGTGCAGCAATCACAGCTCCCTGCAAACTCCAACTCCCAGGCTCAAGCGATCCTCCTGCCTCTGCCTCCCGAGTAGCAAAGACTACAGGCGCACATCATCACGCTTGGTTAATTTTAAAATTTTTAGTAGAGATGGGGTCTTGCTATGTTGTCCAGACTGCTCTCAAACTCCTGGCCTCAAGCAATCCTCTCGCCTCAGCCTCCCAAAGTGTCGGGATCACAGGTGTGAGCCACTGCACCCAACAACAACAAAAAATGTGTTATAATGTTTGCAATTAATAACAAAAGATACAAAAAGAAAAGGTATTTCCAGGGATACAAAGCTGCGCATTGGTGAGCTATGTGGGCAGCAGCCAACCCTATCTGAACAATCCACAGCCTGGGGTTCTGCCCAGAGCTCTTCCTAATGGATATGATGGTGTATATTCTTATCCTTGCCACAATGAGGACACAGAACCATGACTGATTTCACATTGAAAATGGCCCTCCAGGTTTCTCTTGGCACTCAGCTTTGACCCAATTACCTAAATTTTTACCTTTCTCAGTCCAGCCTACCCCAGCCACTCCCCAAAGCTGGGTATTCACTGCGTCAAAAACAATCACCTCAAATTCAGTTCATAAGGACACCATGTGATTAGGAAGTAAGGAGACCTGTTTCCATAAACTCGGTGTAAAGGCACTCTCCACTTTGTTCTGTGGACCTTTTCCATAGAAAAGTGCTAAGTGTCTGTCACCACCAGAGGGCGCAGTACCCTCCACAAGAGGCCAGTTGATGTCAATTTGGGTCAGCACTAGAAAAAAATGAAGTTCCCAGACTGGCTAATTTTTTTTTCCACAATAATCCCAAATGGCTTAACCAAACATCATGATGTTATTCAAAGAATATTACTTCTTGTAAATGAACTGCCAAACTCATCTCAGTTGGGCAGTTTTTTTAAATATCTTTTTTTTAATCTTAGAGAGTCATTTTAATCATACTAACTGGCACTTTATATTCAGGCCATAGTAACAGCTGTCCCATGTGACCATCCATTATCCTGTGATGTCATTTTTGACAATGATATTTTTTCACATTACATTTGTAACATACAACCTCTCAATTATATGTCTTTAAAATGTTTGTTGAGTACCAGCTTACATGCCAGGCGCTATCATAGGTGCTGGGGATACAGTGCTAAATAAAAGAAATGGGCCAGGAGTGACGCACACCTGTAATCCCAGCAC